TTTAGCTGCCAAAAATACCGATGTTAGTTACTTAAACTGGAAGATTCAAAGTTAAATTCCGGGAGGTTTGTGCTCACACAAATCGATCGATCGTCTTGACAATGAAGATGAAGCCGTGAGTTAGCAAGTGGAATTTCGAGGTTTGGTATGACACAGCATCATTTGCATCTCAAAGTTGGATCTGTCATTATTATGTTTCAAAATCTTCATGCGCCGAAACTGTATACTGCAAGCCGGCTGATCGAATACATGGGGACATCCATTTCAGTTCAAACGTATTCAGTTTCCAGTGAAAATTGCTCTATCGATKACCATCAACAGGACACAAGGAYAGTCGGTAGAGGAGTATGGCAAAAATCTGGAAATGCTATGTTTTTCACACGGTCAAATATACGTGGCGTGTTCACGAGTTGGAAACCCATCTTCTCTGTACATACTCGTATAATTTTGTAAGCTAACTTTTCCCTAGCTACAAACATTTCGACTTTATTCTAGATATGTCGGTAACTATATGTATATATATTTATATTTTGCGTACAGATTTTTAGGAGGCTTAAAACTGTGGGTTTAGATAGAAGGAAAATAATAGAGCTTTTGCAGTGCGATCCGTGGCCTGTTGTGACCTCTCCAGTTCTCTGAAAACTTTTAGAAGCTTTCTGGGCGCGATGGAATCGATGAAAGAAGCCAAGGGCCTTGAKCATTCTTCTACAAATTGCTTGGCACTGTAGAATATGTGTTTGGGAACTTCCAGTTCTATGCCACAAAACCGGTAGTATAGAGCATGACAAGGAGACAAAAGTTATATCGGGAGATCTTAATAATATCTCCAAACCTTGATATGTTGTAACTTTCATTAATATCATGGTTCATGTTGCCTACTGCCAGTATCGTTCTCCTCACTCTGTCCTCAGTGCCGATCAATTCCTTTATGACCACGCCTCTGTAATGTAATCTGGCCCCATCAACCTATAAGCCCCCACAGAGCGGGCTACCCCTTTAAGCTCCGCTTGACTATCGCTGAGTATAGCGATACACTGGTTGCGATAGTTTCATTGATTTTTGCACACTGWCTTATTGCAAAAGATTTTTCTTGAAAGATGCTCGGAAAATATCTCATTGGTCTGAATAGTTTGGTATGCGGTCCTGCAATGCCTGCTCGAATGCCTTCCCTCRGTAGCAGGTCGAGCGTTGAATCACTCTAATCTGCCATTCTGCCGAGAGTAACTTTACCGTTCTTTGTGGAGTGTACCCTCTTCGTAACGTCGTCACTTGAAAGAAGGCCAGTGGTGTGTCTTCTCCTAAGACTGAGAATAAACCTTACGATCATGGTATACAGCAACCTGATGATACCTGGTTTGCAGCCGTAAGATTTACCGGCTATRCCTCTGCATATAAGGAGTGCTTTTGAGGCTCTAGACGGTGTTATTTCCACATGCCTTTCCCACCCTAAGGTTGAATCTAATGATATGTTAAGAAATTTGACYTCTTTCGACATCTCCAACCACCTGGCWCGAAGTGTTAGGGTCCTCAAAGCCGAGAGAGATTTTCGATTTGTAGAAGGGACAACGGTTGTTTTTGACGTGTTGGTTTTAACCCATCGGCGTACCTATGGCTGTGAGCATCTCAAGGGGCTCACCTATTACTAGGTGTCATAGTAGGGGGAAATAACTCCACCCTGTGGGTAGCTCATTTTATCTAGTGAAACTACCTGAAATTTATTACTTCGGACTGTAATACCCCTTAAAGAACGCTTTGATTTAACTAAGCTCTATAAACTATACTTTCAAGTAAGAAAATATTTAATTTCTTTTTCATTTTTCAGATTTACCAAAATTTGGTGAGCCATTACAGAATGTCACGGTACCAGTGGGACGAGAGGCGGTGTTGCAATGTGTTGTTGATAATCTGCAAACCTATAAAGTACGTAGTTAAAATAGTTAACATGTTAGAATATAMATATGTATATATAAAAAGATATATGAATCATTTGCATGAAAGGGATGAAAAAGATTATAAGAATTACTTCTATACAAACTAAAGGTAAATAATTCAAATGACAAACCAAAACCCAATAATTTTTGATTAGTTAAATTACTACATAACATATTTGTGGGATTTTTGTAACKAAGTTTTATTGCTGTATGCGTTAACAAATTTCAGTTTATTCAAATCCCATCACTCTTACTTCTTTGTACAAAACCTTATCAAATGCAAGTTTTACATTATTACTTTTCTTTTCCTTTTCCTACCCTTACGCCTAAGTGTGTGCAACGAAGTCATATCCTGATAATACAACAAATCCTAATCACTAATATTACAATTATTACGAATATTTCCTTATGCAAATGGACCCTTTGGCTGCGCAAATGTAGGTCACTATAAAAGTTTTCCTYAACATAATTTGTGAGTGAGTGAGTATCTGGGGATCACTGGACTAAGTGTTAATTGATAATCCTTCTCCTATAATGGTTTGTCGGTATGTCAAAAATGGGTTGAATCGCACCAATACTTCCTTAGCCTTCATATACATAATATAAAGATTTTCGAAATTCCGGGGGGACTTTATACCGCATATATCGGCCAATATATTAATTATTTTCGGATTTTCGAACATCCGGCTGATGATTGGTWTTATGGCTTTAAATATTTTCCTGGCTTTGATTCTTGCAGTTGCCAGAGTATAAAATGTTCGATTGCACACGAACTTAGCCCTTCCTTACTTTTTCTTCTTTTTTGTTTGTTTGTATAGTAGGGGGAAGCATCGTAAGCCGGAGTGTGGATCTTTAATCCGCTAAGCCTAACCTACTCCCATATCATGTCTCTCCACATGATCTGTGGACTAAGTATTACTTCATGAAAGACATTTAAGTCGCCTCTGTTATATGGACCGACTGACGCCCTATCTATTGTAAATGTCCCAATCTTATTATATCATAATTATAAGTGAAGCTTCGCTTACAGSTTTTCATTTTACAGATGATTTGTATATAAGTGCAGTCATTCCAGTTAGCATTTTCCTTATACTTGAAAACCAAGGGAAATGATAAAGTACGTGTTTAGAGCATCCTATCCTAACTAAACTCATAATGATATTTGTATTTGCTTCTAAAATACCCATGGCAACTGAGAATTTGGGYCAAATGGAAATCCAGGTCCCCATGTTGTCTATCTATCCACGAATTTTGTCCGTAATCTGTCTRTAGTCTACCGTCCTTTGCATTAAGTTTGTCACCGCTGCTGACACSTTGTGATGATTTTGGCTTCTCCTCTCTTTTTGCTGCTGTAGAATTCTCTGAGAAGTTGTATAGTATATTYGGGCGACTTCGTCTCACTGGATGTCAATCGGTGCCATACTGGCTAATACCTCAGCAGCGTCATTTGATATGGTTCGGACTGCGGATGGTTCACTGCGTTAATTGGTCTAGCCTATGATTTTATGTCTATTGTTTGCATCCGTATTGTAGCCGAATAMTGTACAACTAAACTCACTACTTTTGCTATTAAAAATTGTCGGCTGGAACGCACACAGCCTTTATTTGCCCTTATTTTATATACAGTTAGGGTACTCACAACTTGTCATAAAGCATCGTAAAATCRTAAAATTATAAATTTTTATACTTGTTTAAAAAAAGCTTTGTTGKATTATATACAAAAATGAGTTTACACAATTACATACATTTTCAATTATATGATTTCGGAYCGTTATAACTTATAACATTATGAGACCRTGTGAAACCCCTAAGTATATCAYAGAAGCATTTTGCATAACCCTTACCATTCCTTTTTTAAAACTTTCASTGGATAAAGTTGGCGATTTCATTTATTTAAGTGCGCATGTTTACTTATCCAAATTTTCCTTAGAAAAAAACATTAAACCATTAACATAAATATTGTCCCGTTATATAGTATACATCAAACAAAAAATATGCGTTTCGGCGAAATTCTGTTCTCACAAAAGTATTTTTCTGTCGTTTTCAATTCTGCTAGTTGGGTGGAGTTTGTTTGGTTTTCTATTTTTTCATAATTTTTTTATATTATGGTTGCTGGTACATATTGGAATTCAATTTAGTTTTAGTTGTATTTATTTCGATTGTGATCGTGGTTTTGTACACATTAAAAATGACTAAAGGTGAAGAATTAACTCCTGCTGAGAAAAAAATAGTTTTTCACCTTCACAATAAAGGTAAATTCACAAAATATCGTCAAATATAAAAACGTGATATGGTTAGTCGATATCGTCAAAATATAGAAAGTGTGGTAAAAGAGTGTAAAGAAGGCGCTAACTTGGAAAACGCAGGCGGTAGAGGACGACCAAAGTTATTGACAGTAAGGGAAAAGAAAATGATGAACTTAAAGCAGCGTTTCGAACCAAAGTGTCAAATGAAACAGTGTGTAGAGTGCTTGGAAATAACAATATACACGGCCGTGCTGCATAAAAAGACCACTTATATCTGTTATAAATAAACAAATTTWAAGATTTTGACTTATGGAAAACTGTAATATTTAGTGACGAAAGCAAATAAAACATTTTTGGATCGGATGGTCTCGTCTGGAGGAAACCAAATGAAGGATTAAATATCAAAAACGTCAAAGCAACTGCTAAGCATGGCGGTGGTTCCGTCTGCTCAGGGAGCCGGGAGTCTCGTTTTATAGACGTGGCAATGAATAAGCATCCACTCTTAAGGAAAATTTACAGTCCAATGATGAAATAATGGGCATGTCAAAAGTGAATCTATATTTAACCACAACGTCCGGATCGTATCGTTATAATGTGGATTCCCGCTATGTACATCTTCTCAACACAGAACATCTGCTAACACCGCCACAAAGCCCTGACATTAAGGGGATATTCTACTCTATAATTTTAAAAAATTCGATTTTTTTCACATATTTAAAGTTTAGACCCTTAAGAACATATCCTCCAAAGGATTTTTAAAAATTAAAATTATGTTAAGAGCAGATCAGGAATTTCAAAAAAAAAAAAGCGTAAAAAATAATTTTCAGGTAGTCGCCATTTTTCAAAAAAAAATTTTCGTGTTCCCTGACTTAGGGACTATAACAGCATCCATACTGATTAAGAATTTCTTTTGATTTTTTTTTTTTTTAAGACCACCAGGAGAGTCAGGATCAATGTCACCAGGATGCACCATTTTTTTTAAACTTGTCTCTCCCCCCTCTGATTATTTTATATTAAATAAAATTGAATCTTTGCATTTTGCAATTACACTATCTCACAAATTAAAAGTCTTAATTAACGTTTTTGATTATTGAAGAATTCGATATGCTTTTTCCGTTCTGAATCCAATAATCCATTCTTATCAAAACGATATCGCTTGCCCTCGCAAGAAGGCATAACAATAATAATTGTGAATTAAACAGAACGCTTAACGTTCTACCGAAATATGCTGAAACAGCTAATATTGTAATTGGCCCTTTCTTTGTTCTCGAGTCAATCATTAGCTAATGCTTACACTTCAGCTTTAGCTTTAGCTTTAAGTAAATATACCAAAATGTATAAATATTAGTATTGTGGAAATAAAGATTTGATTTGTATCTGGCAATCCACGAGAACCACACGTGTTTTATTTCATCCGTGCATTAGCGGATAAAGAAATATATATATTTTCTTCAATTTCCTTCGCCGCGGGAATTAAATTCGATGTATATGTATGTGAACTAGTCTCTAAGTTTTGAGATATAAGTTTGAAATTTTGCACGCGTCCTTTCCTCCCCAATAAGCTGCTCATATGTCAAAACCATCGATATCAGACTATTATAGCAAATAGTAGGCATACAAAATGAACGATCGAAATCGAATTCTTAATATGGAGAATTTTTTTATTTTACGAGGTATCTTCACGAAATGCATTATTACCTAAAACAACGGTATAGGTTGTGAAGAAATTGTCCAGATCGTACCACTACAGCATATAGTTGCCACGCAATCTGAAAGACCAAACTCAAATTACAGTATGGAAAACTTTTGTTTTCGACAAAATATCTCCACGAAATTCTCCACGGATTGTTCATTATGATTATCCAAAACAAGGGTCAAGTTTCTGAGTTTCTGAAGAAATTTTTCGGACCAGACCATTCTTTCTTATAGCTGTCATACAAAAATAGATCAGCAAAATCATGTTTTTGTAAACATTTTAATTGTAACTACGATCAGAACCGCAACGGCTGCTGAAGTGCTGGAGTTTTTTAACCACTTTAAAGATAGCCAATAAATTAAATTTAGTTTTTTGAAACTTTTTGTATGTATTCATTAAAAAAAAGTTTTATGCAATCAGTCTACAACAACTCCCAAAATAATATTTTCTTCCGGTGGTCACAATACAAGTGCCGCTTAAACCAACACTAAGCTTTTCTTGTCTTATTAATAGGGTAGAAATAATACAAAATATATATATGTATGTTAATCGATAACAATATGCTTGGTCTGTGTTTACATATGATTTTAAATGAATTTTACCGTTTAAAGTAAGCCATTCCTAATTAACTTCCTTAACCTCAAAAAAAGGTATTCACACTCTTTCTTAGCTGATTCATTGATAGACCCATAACGGCCGCAAGTAATCAGGTGTATATCTTAAAGTTACAAATGTATTTAAATATGTGTATATACATCAGCAAGCAATCACCGTATGTTAATATTTATTATATGTATGCAAACTCTGCGAAGCAGTAGCTAATAAAACGTTCAACTATTAACTAAACGTAAACAAACAATTTTCACATGAATTTTCTTCTCTCTTTCCTTTTTCTTCCTTACTGATACAAACCTACGCATACACTTTCACACATTCACATGTGTCCAACGTCCTGTGGAACTCTGTGGAAAATTCAACACAATCACTTGCACGTCCAATGGATATATAATATAATCCAACCGGCACACGCAACCCACCTATACRCACCTATACTAAATGAAAATGCGCAAATACAAATAAACAAAAACGAACTAATGACCGAACGTGCATATGAATGCGTTCGTCTTGCGACCTATGTATTATCTGCTAATATGAAAATGAATGGGTTGTGTCGAACGGGTTGACACGTCTCGCATTATGCTTTATAAATTCATAAACACACACCCCCGCATTCTTGTGCGTCATATGATTATTTCGGGGCATCGCCTAGATTGCGTGGCTGCGCGTCGACACACAAACAATACTGACGATACAAAATCACGTTATAACGAAAAACAACAGAATGAGCATAACCCATGCTGATAAACGTGCTTGGATATTAAGAATACGTGAYGTCAAGGAAGCGGACAAAGGCTGGTATATGTGCCAGGTCAATACGGATCCGATGAAAAGTCAAGTTGGTTACCTGGATGTTGTGGGTGTGTACGATAAACTTAATTGAGTCAAAATGTTTGTATATTATAATATGAGATATTGATATTCGTGAAGTCAAGMATGATCGCACTTGGATAGAAAAGGTGAGCCGCTGTGTTGTCTATATCTACTATGATTCCAAAAGACCATCTCATATCGGCAATTACAGCACCTTCTTGCGACTACYAAAAACTTATTTTCAGTACATTGATTAGGGTAAATTAAGTTAAAGTTGATCTTCGTGCAATCGAYACTTTTAGATCTCACTTATATAAAGGTAAATTTCGGTTCTTGGGGCACCCAAGATTCCTAAATATTAATCAGTGGATCTTCGCAGACCACCGATGTGTTTTGAGTTGACCACAAATTTCTACAGTGATATGAGATATGTGAGCCTATTAGACAGTGTCTATTCAGAACATTTATAATTGCGGCGAGCTAACTTTGATAAGAGCAGGTAGTTAAAGGGRCCTTCTAAGTTATATTTTGATCGAAAAGCATCTCACAGCCGCACAAACGTTTTGGTTGTTAACCAAGAACCAATCCATGAACCTCTTGCGTTTTACTCAGGAACAGAAGGAATTCGCACGAAGTCCACAGACCTGGCTATATAATACATAAAGGCAGCGGAGCACYGACTCGTTCCTAGTCTGATTAGACTAAAGGAAGTGTTTCAGTTARGCTTATTACTTTGCAGTTTCAAGCGATTCCACTATGATAAGTTACAATAACAACTTTAACACGAGGAAGCTTGACGCTTTTGCTACTGGTCTAATAAATACACAAAATTATATAATAAGTACTCTAACTTTGGATCTCTGTTGAGATCAACTTTTTAATTAACTATTAGTTTACAGGACTGTTCTCTCTCATAATGGAAACTGTTATGGGATGTTAGATGGCATGTCGGCGTCGGAGCCTCTATAAAGTATATATTTAAATTATCAGTATGTTGAGCTGAGTCGATTTAGCCATGCCCCTCTGTCTGTATATATACGAACTAGTCTCTCAGTTTTTAAAATATGTTTTTGAAATCTCTTCAAGAAGCTGCTCATTTGCCATACAAACTGAACGATCGGAATCAAGTTTTTGTATGGAAAACTTTCACATTTGACAATGAATCTTCATAAAAGTTGGCACGGGTTATTTTCTAAGATAATAATGTAATATACGAAGAAATTGTTCAGATCGGATTACTATAGCATATAGCTTCCATACAAACTGAATGATCGGAATCAAGAGCTTGCATGGGAAACTTTTTCATTTGGCGATATATCTTCCCGAATTTTGGTATGAGTAATTGTTCATAGAAATAATGTAACACCCGAAGAAATTGTTTACATCGGATTACTAAAGCATATATGTAGCTTTCATACAAACTGTACACTAAAAAAAATGTGCCTGTGAAGGGTATATTAGCTTCGATGCAGACAAATTTAACATTTTTTCTTGTTTTTATATGTTTTAGTAATTAGTTTCATAGTAGCAGATAACAAGAGCCATGTTTCGTCTAYATTTTCGATACATTGTTTTGCACAGTATAAGCTCTCAATTAACATTTATTSTTCTTAGTAGTTTTATTGCTGGTGATTTTTTCAAAAATCGCATGATATTTCGTATATATTCAGGCGGTACAACCAATATTTGAAAAGGTTACGTATACGACAACTTGGGAATGCGCGAATAACGCCTAGTTGTTCAAGTTCCAGAATTTCCTTAAAATTTTTATATTTCACACTAGAAAAATTAAATCGTACTTCATTAGAATATATGAGATAATTGCTTTAAACTTGWATATGCGTTAAATATTAAACTAAGAATTTTATACGAGGGAACTTTTATCTCGTAATGAAAAAAACTATTAATTCTTTCATAACTCTTTTCAGTAGCTTCTCTTAGTCCTACGTCACTAGTAATGTATTATGTGTAGTATAATATGTGTATAGCTCATAGTATATAAGTTCTATATGCACTAAATTTGCTGTGAACTAATCCTTTCGATACCTTCTTATCAGTATGAAAAGGGATGATTCGCAGCTAAATGGGTTATGGTAATATCTTAYTGATGGTGCTATTTAGCGGCAGAAAACATTTATGATGTAATTTCGTTAATTGTTACCGAGTTAACAGTTTTTATCCCGATAAAAATCTGGAACCGATCCGATTACTTAAGTAYTCTTAAATCAGCCTCTAAGGTACTGCATGGCCGTCTTCAACCTTACTTGGTACATAACACGCGATATTCCTGCACATATACTGCTGAAACGAAAAAAACCAACCACAAACTTTTCTATTTAATATACACATTTTCCACCTAAGTATTTCATTGTCTGTACAGAATAAGAATCAAACACAAATAATGTTATGAAGTAAAACTTTAAGGAAATTGTTGCTCTAAGGTATCACTTTGAGTTTTGAGCSGCTTTGGCGCGGTTTTCCCCTCCATTTCGATGATTGTTGACTTGCTTGCAAGTMATTCTCATAAACCCATGTCTCCTCGGCAGTTATAATGCTCTSCATATTATTGGGAACGGGACTCCCGCGTTAAAGAATATCGAAAAGAGACAAGACAGGTACACTTTTGGAAAAAAAATTCAGCTTTATCCGGACATGTCGAGCAAAGCAAAAACTATATTATACCCAAAATATCTACMAAAATTACTTGAACGATCTCKCGAGAAATGCTTCCTTGCCATTTCTCTAACACTTGACTGAACACTCAAGCACATATTCCTTTAAAATTTTCATCAGCTAAAGATATCAAAGATAGTCCAGAACTGGGCATGTCCTCAACGATTTTTCGATCGTATATGAAGGCTTTAATATGCTTGTGTTTTTGATATAACATACTGGTTGACAGACCGCGCCAATATTTGACACAGTAATTATTGATAGTCTACCAACTTAGCAAATTATAATTTTTTTTAAATATCATTCTCGAATTGAAATTAAATGTGTAATTGATTATAATTATGATATGAATCCCTAGTTATGATATTATATATTGAGTGTCTTCTTTTTAATTGRCGTAGTCACCGCTTCCGCGATTATAGCCGAGTTAACAATGGCGCCAATTAGATATTTCAAGTRAAGCCAGGTCCTTCTCCACTTGGTCCTTCCAACGGAGCGSAGATCTTYCTCATCCTCTGCTTCCCCCGGCGGGTACTGCGTAGAATTCTTTCAGCGCTGGAGTGTTTTCGCCCATTTGGAGAACATGACCTAGCCAGCGTAGCCCTTGCCTTTTAATTCGCTGAACTATGTCAATGTCGACATAAATTTCGTACAGCTCATCGTTCCATCGAATGCGATATTCGCCGTGTCCAACGCGCAAGGGAAAATAAATCTTTCGCAGAACTTTTCTCTCGAAAACTCGCAAAGTCGACTCATCCGTTGTTGTCATCGTTCAAGCCTATGYACTATATAGAAGGACGGGAATTATGAGTGACTTATAGAGTTTGGTTTTTGTTTTGTCGAGAGAGGACTTTTCTTCTCAGTTGCCAACTCAGTCCGAAGTAACACCTGTTGTCAAGAGTTATCCTGCGTTGGATTTCTRGGCTGACATAGTTGGTGATGTTTACGCTGCTTCCAAGGTAGACGAAATTATCTACAACTTCAAAGCTATGACTGTCAAAAGTGAGGTGAGTGCCAAGTCGCGAGTGCGACGACTGTTTGTTTGATGACAGGAGATATTTCGTCTTGCCCTCCTTCACTGCCGAGCCCATTTGTTTTGCTTCCTTGTCCAGTCTGGAGAAAAAGCAAAACTAAGGGCGCGGATATTGAAGTCAATGATATCAATATCATCGGCATACGCCAGCAGCTGTACACTCTTATAGAAGATGGTACCTTCTGTATTTAGTTCTGCAGCTCGAACTATTTTCTCCAGAAGCAGGTTGAAAAAGTCGCACGATAAGGAATCGTCTTGTCTGAAACTTCGTTTGGTATCGAACGGCTCGGAGAGGTCCTTCCCGTTTCTGACGCAGTTTTTGGTGTTGCTCAATGTCAGCTTACATAGCCGTGTTAGTTTTGCGGGGATACCAAATTCAGACATCGCGGCATAAAGGCAGCTTCTTTCACCTTTTTGCTCTCCTCGTTGAGCATGCCTTCGTCCAGCGCCGTGTTTGAATAGCTCGGCCGGCAATCCATTGGCCCCCGCCAATTTTTGCTGTTCTTCAGGCGGGTAATTACTATTCGAACTTCTTCCTGGTCGGGGAATAGAACGTCTGCTTCATCGTCATCGATTGGGGAATCGGGCTTGTCTTCTCCTGCMGTTGTGCGGTCACGGCCATKCAGCAGGCTGGAGAAGTGTTCCCTCYATAATTTAAGTATGCTCTGGGCATCGCTGACTAGATAACCTTTGAGGGTTCTATAAGAGTATGCTCCGGTCTTGAAACCTTCCCACAGTTTCCTWATACCGAGTTGCTGACGAGTGCTCTCAGAGAGCAGGATTGCAAGCCGAGTAGAAAATTGTTCGGCTGTCTGTTCTGATTGCAGCTTCTCGACKTCGACCCTTATTTGTGTTTGTTGGCGTGCGTTTTTTGCTGCACAGACGCGGGTGCAAATCTGGGCTGCAACAAAATAGTGGTCTGAGTCGATGTTAGGACCTYGCACATCTAAAACACTGGAGACGAGTCTTCCGTCTATCACAACATGATCAATCTGGTTGGTGGTTTTTCGATCCGGAGGCAGCCAGGTAGCTTGATGTATCTTCTTATATTGAAATCTAGTACTACAGATAACCATATTAAGGGCCCCGGCGTGGGCGCAAATTAGCGATATGTTGAAGAACCTCGCTTTGACGCGGATTGTKGCTAGATGTTCATTCACCGGAGTKAATGATAGTACTCGGCGACGGAGTCTCTCTCCCACAAAGACCACTCGTCTCCGTCCTTGTCCCGTCCATCGCATTACTTGGACGGCGGTGATGTCAGCCTTTGTTTTTACGAGGACATCAACCAGCTGGGCAGCGGCACCTTCCCAATTAAGGGACCGGACATTCCAGGCGCATGCCCTCAATTCATAGTCCTTATTTCGTTTGCCATGGTCGTCATCAAAAGTGGGGTCTCTCATTCGAGGCTGTTGTTGCTTTTTCATTGGGGGTGTTTTTTTTACGTGGCGRGTCCCAAACCCAGCGGACAACCCTATGCAGGGGATGTTTCGCCTTCTCACTTTAGCTCGCCTTCAAACGGATGTTCTTAGGCTAYCCAGAGGATACTTGGTCAAGGACCGAAAGTCGTGGGCTGCTTGAGYCTTATGTAAAAGAATTGTTTCTGGCCATTCCCTAGTGAACGGATATCAGAGAACTYTCCTCACTTGCGTGAACACATGACTCCATCCTCCATATTGAGTACACTTTGTATATAATATGATCGATAGGTAATGCTACATWACACAGTATTTACGAAGTAAACAATATCATTAGAATAGTATTAAAACATAATCCGATTTWTTTTACAGTTAACTAGTTACCATATCTAGAAGATATACTATTTATATTGACTATATTTATATATAATATTTTACTAACAAAACATATGTGCTCTTCTATTCTTTTTTTCAATTGCGAAATTCTTGTTCTTGCCGTTTGCGAAAAACAACACTCCGAATGATACATCTTGATGATGTCGGCCATGACATTCGCTGGACAATACTGCAATGATTATGAACATCGTGCCACTGCCGTTCAGCGCCATACAATGCTACATCAACATTACAATTCTGATTGTTTGGTACATTACTGTTTTATTTGTTTCGCTGCTGTTACGGTATTCGCTTTTCGCGTAAACAGTTCCACCCGATATCCTCGATTATCCCACCAGCACGGATATGGTGATACGAGAGGGCGCTAACGTAACGCTGAAATGTGCAGCAGTTGGCTCACCAACACCGACAATAACGTGGCGCCGTGAAGGTGGCGAGCCCATACCGCTGCCTAACAATACCGAAGGTGAGTAAAGAATATGAATATTTCTTGTAAATATATTTTGAGTAACTTTCTACATGATGTGAAGAACATTTGAATCAATTATGATGAACTCGATGAAATGAAATGGTAGATGCCCAAAATATTCTGAATCTAATAAAGAAAATATAAATGTAGGCTTAACGTGATATACACAAAAATGTTTCATCCTCAATCCTCAAGTGTTCCTTTTAGTTTTATTCTGAATTTAAATCAAATATATACAAAAGGTGATGGAACTATACTCACCGCAGCTATGTCAAGATTTCACCATTTCAATCAACATWTGATGGTAGACAAGAATTTGAGAATATTTATAGAAAACCACACCACTTAAAGCAAACCGGTGCCTAATATTTAACTTCATTATGGCAACTGCTTGAACCTCCCTTGAATTTTTGAAACTCATTTACCATTYCTCTAAGGCTTTGCTATGTTCAAGACTAGAGTGGTATTTTCCGTTTGAAAAAATTGATTCTTTAAGATTTGTTTTCATACATCATGCAACCATTATTAAAAATGGCAAAAAATAGTAAGACTTTTAATTTTAAATTTCGCRCAAAAACGCATTCGTGGAATCATTTTGTTCTAGTTGGTATGTGACATTTGTCACATCAAAATAGTTATTAGTGTTTAGTATATGCTTGTCTTGTGGAAGTACCGAATGCACGGCTATTTTTACGAACTTCCGCTAAATTTTGTGTGCAGAAACAAATTTCAACAAATAATTATCTTCAGAAAATGTTTTTGTTTACTAGAAATTGTTCAAAGGAATTGAGAATACGTTGAGGATGAACCACGGCCAGGACGGTCATCACCATCAACTGATGATCAGCTCGTCAATCAAAGCAAAGGAACGAATGCATCAGAATAAACGGTTAATAGTCARAGATCTTACTGGCATCGTTGGAATGTTGGATCAACACAAAATTTTACCATAACTTTAAAGCAGTAATTTTCCATTGTTTAGATCTTAATCAGTCGAAAAAAAATATATGCCATGATTCACTTTTTTATTTAGGACACCGTTTTAACGATATTTTTTAAAATATGTGGTTTTAATTTTTGATTGAAAATKATCACTTAAAGAAACATTTTAATTAAGTTTTACTATCAAAATAACTAACAAAAAAGTAAAAAGCAACTTAAAAGTGCACACCTTTACTTTTTTTGTATTCACAGGTACTATCTCTTAATAAACAAATATAGTCTCCCATCATGTTTTCATTGTATTGACCTTGATAACGTTGTTCGAAACTCAYAATRTCCTGGTGAAAACGTTCTCCTTGCTCTTCTGAATACGCTCCCATGTTGTTTTTGAATTTATCTAAATGARCATGCAGCATATGTACTTTTAATGACATTCTGCAGCCCATGGCCTCAAAAYTTTTTAGCATATTTTCAACTAGGTTTTCGTAGTTTTCGGCTTTGTTATTTCCTCAGAATCCAGAAACGACTGCTTTGAAACTGTTCCAACTCGCTTTTTGAATACGATCCAGCAATGTAGGAAAATCTGTCTGATGTGCTAACCAAAAAAAAAAAAAAAACCCCGGCTTTAACCTTTGCTTCGGATAACTTCGGGAAAAACTTGTTTAAATATTCAAAAGCTTCTGAGGTTTGATCCAGTTTTTTAACAAATTTTTTCATCAACCCTAACTTAATATGCAGAAGCGGCAATAACTCTTTTTCTGCTTCAACAATTGTCTCAAATTTTACGTTTTCTTTTCCGATACAAAGTTCTGTTCTTTCAGGTCAGGACCGTTGAGTATAATGCGTAGCATCCGCTATACTATCCCATAAGCACAAATATCACGAATACTCACAATACTTTACAGATTCGAGCAAAATTTTAACACTTTCATAATTTTCTTTAAGATATACTGAGTGAGCGATTGGAAGAGATGGAAATTTATTTCCAAAATCAAAGTCCATTTTCTTTTGTGAAAAATGTTGAGAATGTTTCATACCTAGTCCACTGATCCGTAATATAATATTAACATCATCAAGCAAATTCCACTGTTTTAAGCGAAAGCCTAAAAGCTCTGCTTTACTTTTTGGCAAATTTAAATCTCTAATSAAATCATTAAAATCTTCTGTGGTGACGAAATGAGGTTTTGGTTGTTCTGGTGTCGGTAAAAGTTCCTTATCCTAATTACTTTTATGAGGACTAAGAGATAAGCTACTATTTTGCGATAATTTTATCGGTGGCTCAGGTACAGGTCGTGTCAAATCGTGTGAAACTGGAGCAGAAGAAGATTCAARGTCAGAATATTCGATAGCTTTTGCATTTTTACCTCTACGCCTTTTACTCGGATTCACAATGCCAAAGTAGCAGTCGTTAACGTGATCTTTTGGTTCTCGCCAGATTCTTGGTATTGGAAATTTCATAAACCTTTTCTCACCCCGATACCAACCTAACATATAAAAATAGAAATTAATATGTCTATTTTATTTAATTCACCGTTTATTGAAAATGTCTTTACCTTCCAAACATCTTTTACAATAACTACAAGCAGCATGTGGAGCCCATGTCTTGTCTTGATTCCGAACAAGGCAGTCAAAATATACTTCGTAGGCTTCACAGAGAACGTGAGATGCTTTTAGTTCATATTTTATATCTCGAACTTTAATAAATTGCCCACACATCTACTATCTCTTAATAAACCCCAAATATAATATTATTACTATAACTTTTACAAAAGCAAACTTATACGAAAAAATGGTATTTTCTTACCGTTTTTTTATAATTAATCAAAAAATCATAAAGTAAACTTTAGGACAAAGAACGAAATTTTTTTTGTAGAGTCGTGTTACGGATATTTGTATCTGCCTTTACAAATAGGTGGCAAAGGTGAGCCATAGCCCAAAAATGACATACATGTCAAAAATGAATATTATGTTGACAGTTTTCTTAGGTTATCGAAATGTTTGAACTTTGGATTCTTTCCGACTGACCAAACTGTCAACAAGGAATACTATTTAAGAGGCCGGGCTTATGGGCTGAAAACTCTTGATTTTTGTACCACAATGGTGCACCATCGCACACTGAATTGATTCTTAGTAAGTTTATCGCACAATTTTCAACGCAACGTGTCGCACTATCGTTTTCGGCTTTTTTAGCTCCGCGTTATTTCTGGCTATTCAGCAAACTTAAACGGCCKTTCCGAGGAAACCGTTTTAAGTCAATTGAAGCCGTTAAACGGGAAYGGGTACCCGCATTGAACGCTAATTTGGAAATTTGTTTTGACAATTGTTCGGAGGATTGGATTGGTTGGCACAAGTGTGGCCGAAGGGATTGAATTGAGGGGACGACAGAGACTGATGAATATATTAGGAATTTTCAAGCTATGAACAAAGTCTTACTATTTTTTGCTCGTAGTAGTATGACTCTTTTAATCTGTGTTTCTCTTTGTTTGTGATTTGCCCGAAGCTCCGTGCTCTTACTAAGAAGATTTTTATGCAACCAACTTATTGGCAACATTTCCAACAGTCAAGAAGTATTTCTTTTAAAATGTCAAGGAGACAAGATTTTCTCTGAAACCGGTATTGTAAAAATCACCTTTAAAATGGCAACAACTTACCGAAAGAACCCWTGCATATATGTATGACCAAAATAAGACCATTCTAAAAACCTTATATATAAAAATGAATCGCAAAATRTGTTGCTAAGCGCATAACTCATCAACGCCTGCACCAATTTGGTCAATTCTTTCTTYTAAATGTTTGTTGAGGTTCAACGATGGGTYTTACGGCGATTCGAATTCGAATAATTACCGGAAAAGCCATAGAAAGAGCTCTTTTGTTTTTCACATACAAACGTTTAATAAAAATGAATGCTTGTTGGYTAGTAACGGTAAGAGAACGACTGCACCAATCTTGATGGAATTTTTAGAGGTTGTTCTCTGGGAATCGCGGAATGTTTGGATATAAAAAAACCATTTGCTTTTAGTCAGGCAAAGTCGGAAAATTTGATCATTTTATCAATTATGGGATACGACCAAAAATTTCATTGTCGAAGACATTTTAYATCGTATGCGCTAAGAATTGGAAATGGGTCAATACCGGTTAATACTTCCTGTGGTTTGATATCAATTCCATATGCCGTGCAGGATGAAGATGGAATGTTTATACGAACATTGACCAAATTATCGTAAGTACGATTCCTTGAGTGCACGCGAAATGTCCTTCTTCTTAATTGGCGTAGACACCGCTTACGCGATTATAGCCGAGTTAACAACAGCGCGCCAGTCGTTTCTTCTTTTCGCTACGTGGCACTAACTGGATAATCCAAGCGTAGCCAGGTCCTTCTCCACCAGGTCCTTCCAACGGAGTGGAGGTCTTCCTCTTGATTTGCTTCCCCCGGGGGGTAGAGCATCGAATACTTTCAGCGCTGGAGTGTTTTCGTCCATTTGGMCAACATGACCTAGCCAGCGTAGCCGTTGTCTTTTAATTCGCTGAACTATGTCAATGTCGACATATATCTCGTACAGCTCATCGTTCCATCGAATGCGATATTCGCCGTGGCCAACGCGCAAATAACCATAAATCTTTTGTATAACTTTTCTCTCGAAAACTCGCAACGTTGACTCATCATTTGTTCACCCTTGTTGCCCTCGTTCTCCGTCAGACCAATTTGTTTTGCTTAATTGTCCAGTCTGGAGAAAGCAGAACTAACGGCGCGGGTGTAGAGGCCCGGTTGTTGATTTTCTAGGTCTGAAGCCACACTGATAAAGTCCAATCAGTTTGTTGACGGTGGGCTTTAAGATTTCACACATTACACTCGATAGAACCAATGTTGAGGAGGCTTATTTCACGGTAGTTGGCGCAGATTGTGAGGTCTAGTTTTTTGTGGATTGGGCATAGCACACATAAATTCAAATCGTTGGGCATGTCCATCGGTTCCCGCCGCTTTGTTGTTCTTCATTCGGGTAATTGCTAYTCGAACTTCTTTATGGTCGGACAATGGAACGTCTGCTCTATCGTCATCGTTTGGGGAATCGGGTTCGCTTTCTCCTGGCGTTGTGCGTTCACTGCCATTCAGYAGGCTGGAGAAGTGTTCCCTCCTTTGTTTAAGTCTGCTTTGGGCATCGGTAGCTAGATCACCTTTGGSGGTTYTACAAGAGTATGCTCCGGTCTTGAAACCTCCTGTAAGTCGCCGAATTTTTTCGTACAATTTTCGAGCATTACCCCTGTCGGCCAGCTAATCAAGCTCTTCGTACTCACGCATTTCGGCCTCTTTCTTTTTCTGTCTGTAAATGCGTCTCGCTTCCCTCTTCAATTCTCGGTATCTATCACATCCCGCACGTGTTGTGGTCGATCGTAACGTTGCGAGGTAGGCAGCCTGTTTTCTCTCCGTAGCGACACGGCACTCCTCGTCGTACCAGCTGTTCTTTTGCACTTTCCGAAAACCAATGGTTTTGGTTGCAGCTTTACGTAAGGAGTTTGAACTGCCGTCCCACAGTTCCCTTATGCCGAGTTGTTGACAAGTGCTCTCAGAGAGCAGGAGTGCAAGCCGAGTAGAATATCATTCGGTTGTCGGTTGTGATTGCAGCTTCTCGACGTCGAACATTCCTTGTGTTTGATGGCGTTTTTTGCTGCACAGAGGTGGGTGCGAATCTTGGCTGCAACAAGATAGTGGTCCGAGTCGATGTTAGGACCTCGCAGTGCACGCACATCTAAAACACTGGAGACGTATCTTCCGTCTATCACAACATGATCGATCTGGTTGGTGGTTTTTCGATCCGGAGATAACCAGGTAGCTTGATGTATCTTCTTATGCTGGAATCTAGTACTACAGATAACCATATTTCGGGCCCCGGCGAATAGTACTCGGCGACGAGTCTCTCTCCCACTACGAATCCCACACCAAACTTGTGCTATATGGTCACTGTAGTAAATGCCACAAGGACCTACTCGTCTCTGTCCTTATCTCGTCCATCTCATTTCTTGGACGACGGTGATGCCAGCCTTCACTTTAATGAAGATATCAACCAGCGGTCATTCCAAGTGCATGCCCTCAAATCATAAAGGGGTTCACTCATGCGAGGCTTGTTGTTTCCTTTTATGGTAGGTGGTTATTTTTACGTTGCGGGGTACAAACCCAGCGCATGACTCCATCCTCYTCCGCACAATGTTAGCTGCCACAAATACCGATGTTGTTGAYTTAAATTGGAAGATTAAAATCGACTGATCGTCTTGACACTGAAGACGACACCGTGAATTATCCAGTGGAAGCCAAGCCATCATTTGCGTCTCATAGTTGGATATGCCGTTGTGATGTTTCACAATCTGATTGCGACGCGTCTATYAAATGAAAAATATTGAGAAAAATCGCAAATAAATGATTATTAACACAATATGAATGTTTGTCTTTTCGATTCAAAACCCATAATTCACGMAGAACAACGGCTGACCCCGCAGCTATTACTAAATAAAACCTTCTAAATAATTTAAAAATTATGAAATAATTACTTTTAACTAAACCTATTATTTACAACTATATTTTCCTGTGTTAGAAGTTGGTAAATATTCTTATGATACTGAAACGCTAAATTCTTGACAATAAAATTAAATTATTTGTATCTTATGATATTTTTTCGAAATTCCCAAATCTAAAAAACTTCCTTTAGAAATATTTTCATAGTTTCTCTAACTTCGTTACTTATACTATATTATCTTGGAGCACTATGTCATTAAAAGGAAGCTTTTGAAAGTCGTTTCASTTCTCTAAAGATAGGAAAGGCGTATATTTTTAATTCTCAAAAGTTGTCCCTGAAATTTAAATATTGTGAAACTGTACATTGCAACAAAATTGTATTCTGTACGAAATTGCGCGTTTTTTCATTGATTTCCCTACGTAAACCATATGACTGAAATGAAAACCACGAACGCCATTAGCAAAATTACTTTTCATTTTTATTGGATGCAAATTTATGACATATATTTTGCAAGGATACGCATCCCAATTGCAGAGCATGCATTGTAATTCAAAACGAAATTAATTTTTAATTTTAGTTGAAAAGTTCTATGAATATTGAAACAAATTTCGGTAGTTTCAGCAGGCATTCAATTTCAAATGCACCAGTGAGTATATATTAAATATAATTAAGGTCTGAAGGAACTGATTTCAATGAAAATTTGTTAATATATTTTGTATTTCAATTAAATCAATTGCAGGTTTAGAAATCCTATATAAAACGAAAGTACTTCATTTGTACCTGTAGTTAATAGTCTAGTTAAGGAATGTGTGTAATCTTCGAAGGTCATCATAGTCGGGCAATGGAACATTATTCCATAGTCAGAGATTTTGGAAGAAGGTTTGTTCAGCAGGATGGAGTAGCGTTCCCTCCATAAATTTAGTATTGCCTGAACATTAGCATCGTTTCATAGAATTTTTCAGCACAATTCCTGYCGGGCAGCTTGTCAAGTTCTTCATACTCATACATATCTGCCTCTTTCTTTGTTTGTCAGCGTATGCGTCTCGGTTTCCTCTTCAACTCTATGTATTTATTCCACCACTCTCGTTTTTTTTATCGGTCGTGAAGGAAGGCTGTCTGTCTGAGTTCTCTTCACTGCGAAATAATACTCCTTTCCWTTCCAGGTGTTATTTGGTGTTATTGGTGATGAGAGAGAGCAGGGGTGTAAGTCAAGTCGAAGCCCGTTTCGCTGTCGGTTGTGATAATAGCTTCTCGGTGTCGTACCTTCCCTGTACTTGTTGATGGTCGTGCTTTGCTATACATAAGTGGGCAGGTACCTTCGCTACAAGAAGATATTGACCCGACAAGGAAAAAGAACACTGAAGACGTGTCTTCCATCTATCACAACATGATTGATCTGGTTAGGGGCTTTTTGATCTGAAGACAGCCAAGTAGATTGATGAATTTTTTGTGCTGGAATCTAGTACTACATACAACCATATTTCGTGCCACTGCAAAGTCGATCAGCTTCCACCCACTGGCAGAAATTTCGCCATGGAAGCTGAACTTTACAACTCTTGTACCAAAGATAAATTCTTTGCCCATTCTGGGGATAGTTGTCATAAGCGCGCTCCAACCGCTCATAAAAGGCTTTTTTCGTCATATCGTCCTTCTTTTTCATCGATGCGTGGGTGAAAAATTGTACTCTGGAATGGTTTGTTGTTAAACGCTCATCAACCGGAGKGAATGCCAAGACTCGACGACTAATTCTATCCTGGAATCCCACACCAAATTTGCGCTCCGATGTCACAAAGATCTACTCGTCTCCGTCCTTATCSTGTCCATTGTATTTCTTGAACGTCGATGATGTCTGCCTTTACTAACGAGGACATCAACCGCCTTCCCATTGATTTATACGTATATATTATATATATTATAGTAATATAAAGTTTTATATACATCCGGTGAACAGATACTGCAATTAGACTTCAGCAAACCCTTAAACCGAATTTGTCAAAGTAACTCCGCTGAAGCTTCCTCTCTTTTAGCCGGGACCTCATTCTCTACAACCGTTGGCTACCGCATCTTACATAAGGGTTACTCACATTTCCAGGGTGCGCGGCGGGGATGCAAGACTACGAATTGGATATAGTGCTACAACTGTAACTACTTACCCAGATGCATAAATATATCCCATTAACCTCAAATAATAAACAAATCGACCTATTTATAACTAAAAGTATCTATCTGACCAAAATCTCAATAAATACTTATCTTCTATAAATATACATTTAATATTCCTTGCTCCTGAATTTAAAATTAATTTATAGACGTTTATATTTTAAAACACATATTCTTTTCTTATAGATATCTTTCCAGTCATGGCCTACAATGGCTCCTACCTGACGATCACTAAAGTACAACGCCTTAATATGGGTGCATATTTATGCATCGCCTCGAATGGCATTCCGCCAACGGTCAGCAAGCGCGTAATGTTGATTGTGCACTGTAAGTATACGAGTATATACTAAATTAAATTATCATTTAAACTTGCTTAAGGAAAGGCCATGAAACAATATGGTAATGAATTTTCATATATGACTCTCAAAGACTTCCTCAATCAATTCCTTCATTATACCCTAAGCGCGCTATATTAATTTAGTCACGAAGTTTGTAATACCAAGAAGGAAATAACGGCTCTTTAATAAATATATAAATAATCAGATTGGCGAACTGAGTAGATATAGCCATGTCTCTCAATTTTCGAGATGTCTATCTGAAATTATGCACAAATACTTTTTTCGTTCAAAAAGGTTTACATTAGTGGCTACCATGCAAACTGACCGATCGAAACAAATTTGTTGTAAAGAGTAAAGTATTTGCGAAGTGTATTATTGCTTCGGTGCAACCGATGTCAACGCTTTTTATACTCTTGCAATATGTTACTACAGAGCTATAGGTCTATATTATATAAATACATATAAATGATTAGGATGAAGAGACGAGTTGAAATCCGGATGCATATCTATCTACAGTACCTCTCCAACCCATTAGAAACACGGGCAGTTATTCATAATTTTGCTTTTAGAGTCAAATCAATCAACAATTATTTCGATTTGTGAATGCAATTTTTTGTATAATATTTATTTGAAATATGGTCTTTTCATAAAATTGAGAAAAACTTCGATTTTTTTAGTATTTGGTTGACAAAGCTTTATTTTTATTAACCTTCCTATACCCGCGCACATGTCTGTGAGACCGACGAAACAGTTTTTCGTAAATATTTTTTTTAGGCTGTTTTGGAAAGACTGATAACAATTAAAGTAATAAATAATTTATGTTAACAATTGCTATTTTTTGTTTTATTACATCCTATATTTCCTATAAAATAAAAAAATATAAACGGTTTTATAGAAAAATAACAAGGTAAGAGGAGTCAAAGTCACGGTCTGTCACACCGTGCGCGGGTATAGGTGTTAAAACATTTGGCGCGGGTATAGGAAGGTTAACAGCCTTCACTATTTGAGGCATACAATTCAAACAAATATCATTATTTTTAAATCTGGATCATTTAGACACACATCGTTTATGTTATCTTTGAATGGCACTGTTGTGGGATTTCTACCTTCCGAGTAATATGTAGTGAACAGCCTACATACTTAATACTTAATGCAAAAAAATTCAAATTATTCGCCTAGCAGCTTCCCCAGCACTCTATTCGTAATTTTTTATATTTATTTACCATGTTCCTAATGGGTTGGCGGTACTTCTTATCTTAATAATATGCAGTTATGCCACACAAAAATTAAAATCGGGTCAATACTACACCTATCTCCAATACTATTATCATACTAAATATCGGTCAATGTAGTAATGCAACTTATTGCTCAGGGACTCCTTTTGCACTTATTAACGCTAATTGATATGTTTGTAAAAACTAGTGACAATCTTGCGTTAAGGAGTTCAGTATTACTAGGAACGAAAAATATACTCGGAAGCAAAGTATTCTGAAAGGCTAAAGAAGGCTTGTCGCTTATATTAAATAACTGCTTGGACGTTATATTTTTATCCTTAGCAGTTKTTATAGATGCCTGAGAGTCAAGAAAGAAGTGTTAGGAACATAACTTGTTTTCTTCCAACAACTTCTACAACTCGCATACGGTAAGATTCTCAACTTTACCTCGTGAACAYCACGAGCAAATAGACCAGTTAAAAATGACACAACTAGTGAAACCAAAGAGCTCACTAAGCTTCTGCTACCCTTCTRCCCTTCTGCTATAATTTTTAGTTAACCTTATTTCATCTGTAAGGTTATTTATTTCTAGCAACATGGCTAGAAGTATGTAGAAAAATGTGTTCCCTTGAATGCATGGCTAGAAGTATGTAGAAAAATGTGTTCCCTTGAATG